CCCCCCCCCCCTCATATGACATATGACGATCACAGCACACCACAGTGGCCTACTTTTCTTTCCTTCTGTTGTTTTTGTCCTCTTGGATTTTTCCCCTCCTTGTCCTACTCTGGGCAACTGTTTTCGTGCCATTGTGCTTGTGGCTCAAACCAACAATGTGTGATATATGAATTGCGGTAATCGTTGAAGAAAGCGAGGTGAGTTATGGAGTGAGTGAAGTCTGATGACAAAGTACAATTTTATTTGCTGAGTAAAGCAATGGTGACTTAATAAAAAAATTAGTAATTTTGCCTCATTATCAGTAAAAGAATAACACAGAAGCAACTTGAGTATGATTGCCAAAAAAAAAAAATCATGAGCTTTGTTTCCTTGCAAATAAATCATTTTACAACTGTTACAAACTGTCAGTGTGTGGGTGGAAGGAAAGGACTATGGTTTTAGACTTCCTCAAGTTTCCTCCCTGTAGTCCTCATTTTTGCTAGTCGTGAATTTGTTTCTTCTCAACTCTTTGCAGTCGCATGCAGATGTAAATTGGATGAACACATGGGGAGTTAATTAATCATACTTCTTCTTCATTTGTATGCTGGGACATTGTGTACCACTCAGCTCGGGTTGGCCCTGACAGGCAGGGTTGTTGCAACCTTTCTAAATGATCTGAATAGTGCTTATAGGGTTGTGAAATATTTATAATTACTATAAAAAATTACAGGACTCCTGGCTGACCACCAGGTAGAGACATAATGATTTGAGTAAGTAAAGTTTAGAGTTAATTCTCTAAGTAGCCCACCTCTTCATCATCATCCGGTGCCTTGTCGACTGGCATGGGTGATCATGGACCTCTACTTCTCTCTTTCTTGCGTTGCAGCGATGGTGTCTGTAGTTCTTGCTGTTCCCAGCCAGCCATTTTGTCAACTTGGCCCACCTCCTAATTGACCTAAATTGTGCGGATGGAGGAGCGTAAGAAACAGCAACTGGGACATAAAAAAAAACACCCATGAAAGTACATTGATTATAATGTAACTCTGTTGTGTTCTCTCACCCCCAGGGTGCCGCTATGTCTGAGGTAGAGCGTCGGGCGGCCAAACTGTCGAAGCAGAGTGAGGTTGATGAGGCAGAGCCCACCATCCCGCCGGATCCCCACAATGTGGTCACCGTGGTGACCAAGCCTGCAGGAGGTCAGGGTTCATGTTTGGACTCTCTGAGGGCCCACGTCTGTCTTGTGTCTCTGTCTTCTGTGTGATAATGTTCTTGTCTGTCATTGCAGGTACAGTCGAACCTGCCATGACGACCTCCTCTTTAAGATGCCACCTACACAAACGGCCATTTTCCAGTTCCCCCCTTTCGTTTTTTCTATAAAATTTTACTGTGTAATACGGGCACCTGTCCAATGCGGTTGCAGCCATCCTATTTTAACACACAACCCCTATCACACCAAACAATAACACCTGTCTTAGACGGCCACCTTAGTGACTCCATTATGTTTTGTCATAAATCATCCTTCACAATGGGCGGCCGTCTTACGCAGGTTTGACTGTAATTGGAAGATATTATTGATTGGTCTTACTTCTTTTCATTGACTCTAGTTTCTGTTAATCTACCTTACTTTTTATGTGCATTAAATGACTGTTATTTAAGATTTTGTCAGTGTGCATCTCTCTCAATCTCTTTTCTCCAACAGACAATTTGGTGCCCTAGAATTGCAAAGTTCTATCTGCTCAGTACCTAGTTTTGAGCAATTTGACTTTAAAAAATTTTGAGTTTCACAACATGGTTAAAAGCTTTTTCGAGTGCAATTCTTTGACTCTGCTGAATAATCTTATGATTTTGATAGGCCAGATAGAACATTTGATTTTTGACTTCATTGTCTTTATAACTCAAAATGTAAAAAATGTTAGATAAAACTTAATCGTTGTAAATAAGTGAATGGTCTGTTGCTCTTTATGTTTGTAGTCTATCTTATGGCTGGCTGATTACTTCTTTGTCTGACTGTCAGTTTGTCTCAGTTTTGGCTGAGTTCACCTCGTCGGTGGTTGGCGGGTGCTCTGGTGTGGTTTGCTTCTTCTTTCTTATCAAACATCTATCGTCCTTATCTCATCTTCTTATTTTTTATGTTTGTTACTCTCTTGTAACACCTCTAATCTTCTGGTGCTCATTTGATCTTCTTATGCAGTTGCGAGCGCCGTAAAACCTCTACTAAAACTAAAAACTGAGTTCACCTCACTTTTGGAAATGAGTGCTTATTAAGTGACATTTGACACACTTTGTATTTTCTTAATGCAGTGTATTATGTTTTTGCCAGCAGTAAAACTTGTTTTTAATGTCTGTGGCTTTAGCATCGCATTCTATGAAAAATAGCTTTATATTTGCAGGGCAGTGTGGCAGAATAGGTTATTAACAGTTGTTGATCATACCATTGTTTTCTCCTTTAACCCTATCCGTAAGCCCTGGGGTCATTTTGTACCCCTGGGATTGTATTCTTCACATTTTAGAATACCTCTAGTGCGACGATCTCTTTGAAATTTTCAGTATTTCTCAAAAATTCATTTTGACAGACTGCTATGCAAAGCGTAGGGATCGGATTGACGAGTAAATTTCCTCTTTGGAAAATGGTGGCACAGAGTTCCCCACGTCTTATGGATACGATAGTAAAACATGACGTATGGATATGATTAAGACAACAAGCTGGATTTTTTAATTAGTACTTTTTCAAGATATTTTGTCAAGGAATCAGGGTTGGTGATTTTTTTGATTTTTTAAATAAAGATAAATCGATTTTTTAAATTTAAATCAAGATTTTTTAAATTTAAATTGGATTTTTTTGATTTTTTTAAAGATGTCGACACAGTTTGGGATTTTTGGTGGCTAAAAGTAAGTTCTTTTAGTGCAAAATGCATTGTCTTTATTTTAACTAATGATTAATTTAAGCAACTGCAATTTTAGAAAGCCTTATTCTGCTATGTATA